ATAGTGTCAGGGCAAGTGAGAGAAGTCGTGCTCTTTAATGTGTGGCAGTATTAGTAATATATCTAAAGACAGTTCTAATTTTAAGATCTCTAAATATAGTGAAGCTTATGTCTTCATGTCTTAAAATGTAGGTTGGCATAATTATTAATTAGTTTTATGGTGGCGTACATGCACTGCCCCAAAAGTGGACACCCCAAAAAAGAGTAGGCTTCAAAATAGCCTTAAAGGTCCTCGATTTCGATATGTGCTCATCTTCGACGCCACACCAGAAAAGCTTCTGGCCTTCACGGTAAACATTGCCGTCAGCCAGAGTAACCCTACAGGAAGATTAACCAGGTTTTCTTGGTTTTAGCTTGAGAAGAGGCATTGCGTGGGGACACCGAATGCAGGTTAGCTTCAACATGCTCAGACAATCCATGACCAAGTTTAAAGGTGCTGATTGAATCATTAATATGAGTAAGTCGGTAGAGTCTTCTTGACTTGAAGAATGTGATTGCATGGTCATGCCAGAGGCTGCAGTTTGAGGACGTTTATGGTCACCAACAGGGTTTGGCAGCGATAATTTATTGATATTACTACCTCCGAGTATGTCAAGACTTCGTATTTTCCTTAGGTTATTTACCTGAGCATTCCTTCTAACCCTCTTGGGGGTAAAAATGGTCATGGTCGGGACAGATGAGGTGTCTCAATGATGCCTATTGGCATCAAAGGCAGTCGCCTTGGCATTCTAAGAAGCTTTCATAGGAGCTACTTTAGCAGCTTCGTCTGTATTTACTTGTGGTCGCGTGACTTGGTCCTTAGCAAAGACCGAGTGCTTAGCCACATGAGAGTCCTGGATGGTTTCACGACAACCTTTCGTCGAGATGGCTTGAAATTGGAAGACATCTTTTTTGGGAACTATATCAGCAACTGACATTGTACTTGCGTAAGGAACTAAGAAAATAAAGAAAAAGAAAGTTTAGCGCAGCAGCCGGCCTGCTAACCGAAAGCAAGGCCGGCAAATGTTTTGTTGAGAAAGTCAAAAAAAAAATCAAAATAAATACGGCAGCTCTGAAATATACACAACCGGTTAGTCTGACACATAAGTCGAGACTCCTAAAATTTGATAAAGACAATGACTCAAGAGAGTCGGAAAATAGGATGATGCAAATGCCAATTAAATTTGAAATCTAAATTTTTGACTGAAAGTTGTTTATAAATTTATGGGGTCGGAAGCGCTTTATGCCCTTTTTACTAACGGGTGTAACAATCTATTGTTTCTTGGTAGCTGCACATCAGGGCTAGTTCTGGAACTGATTTTCGGGTTTCCATGAGTGTCTTCTTGGCTTTCGTGTAGTTGCCCTTCTCAACCGGGTTGTCAAAAGTCTTTATAAATTCTCAAATTTTTGTACTTTTGCTCCTTTTTGCAACCAATGTTGGCCTTTTACTTTAATACTTTTTAATAATCTTTATTGAAGTTTGATATCCGAATTGGTGTATGTATGTTCTATGTGTAAAATTGTCAGGCCTTATCGAACAGTAGTGACTGTGACAGGCGAAGTCTGGTTGCAAGGTATGAAGAAATTCTTGTTGCTTTACAAATGATTGACCAGTATTCCAAATAGTTTTTGGAGAAGGTCCCTTTCTTGGCTTTTATTCCATCTTGCAAAGGTCATCACCTGTCCCTCGACTTGTCGACAACTTCGATTTAAGCTGTCCAAAGTCATTTGGTGGTGTAATCTCTTATTGGTATCACGTCGGGAACATCAAATGTTAAACGGCAAACGATGCTTGAACCTAAAGACTAGACATAGACTAATTTTATTAAGCAAACTTAACAGTATTTATAGGTACAAAAGTGTTGCAATCCATTTTTTTTATTCAGCATTTTGTGTAATGCCTTGCTTACACCTTTTATTGCCCTATAAACGAAATTGAGGTGCCAATTAATATTTGAGCGTAGAAGCTCCGTAGACCAGAGAAACAATTTTATCTCTTATTTATCAACCCGTGATACAGAAGTAGAAAGAACTTCTTCAAAGAGCAACTCAGCACTACTGACCATTGACATTGCGAGAGCACGGACTTGTTCTCCCGCCCTACTCACACCAACTCCCACTTCATGGAGCTTGCAGTGTAGAACCACACCCCCAGCTTCGACTCACAGCTCACCAGCCACGAGCACTGCGACCTCATTAATTTCTGCAACCGCAGCCACTGCAACAACAACATCAACGGTCGCCGTTAACAACAACGCGATTTCGAATGCGTTTGCAACTTCTGCAGCGCCGAATAAAACTACAAAGCCAATTGTAAGTATGAGTGCCAATATCGGCAATATCAAACAACAACAAGTGGGTCCGGCTATACAGACTGGCATGGATCAAACGGAAGCTAAGCCCGCAAAATAAAATGGTTGGAAATAAACCAAAACAAAATTGCCCTAATAAAGGCAGCGAACAACCAGGGGCTTCTACTAACAACAGATTCGCCCTATTGTCGGAAATTGATAATAATCAATCCGAAGCTGGACAGGCAGTTAAAAAAAATCCAAAGCCCCCACCAATGCCCTAGTAAAGAGAATTGTTGTGCTGGTCGGGAATGACAGCTTTTATATTACTCCTCTTGTTAAAGGGAATATTCATGAAACAAAGCTTCAAGCTAAATCTGAAGATCAATTCAGAGCTGTAACCAATTACCTAGACGAGGCTAGGAAACCCTACTACACGTACCAGCTCAAGAGTAGCAAAGGCTTGCAAGTAGTGCTAAAGGGCATAGAGCCCGACGTATCCACCAATGATATAAAAGAGGCACTGAAAGAAAATGGATTTTTCCCCAAAAATATTATTAATATTATCAATTATTAATATTATCAATTATTGTCTACGACGCGCTTGGCAATCCTGCAGATCGCCCCATTCGAAGCAACTCTTAAATGAAGCCACTCGCAGACTCACCAAAACCCTCAAGCAAGTGGAGCTTGCACAGCGCCAGTACATCGAGAAACTGTCGCCGACCAGTACAAAGCATCCTTTGTGGAGAGCTCACCCAAATTTAAGCTCTCCGATAGAATCAGTCACTCCGATTAGAGACTCCTCGGGTACTTGGGACGAAGACAGAGCCGAAGCATTTGCTTTACACCTACGAAATGTATTTCAGCCGAACGCCGCCACTCTCTTCAACTACCGCCGCTTAGCTCTGAAATTGCAATTAACCTGATTTTGTTTCAAGCAACTGAAATTGCTAACGTCATTAGAAAGCAAGTAAAACCGAAAAAGGCTCCAGGGGGCGATAATTGAACTTCCAAACTGCGCATTGGATGTTATATGCAAGTTACATAACGGGATCACAAAACTTGGCTACTACCCCAAAAAATAGAAAAAGTCCGTGGTTATTATGATACCGAAGCCTGGGAAGGACCACACAATTCCCTCATCGTACAGGCCAATAAGCTTACTATCGTGCCTGTCCAAATTACTGGAAAAACGCCTGCTCACGCGCATTACACCATATTTAAGAGAACAAAACGTAATCCCGGCACATCAATTCGGGTTTCGTGAAAGCCACGGAACCATCGAGCAAGTCAACCGGATAACTTCAGAAACTCGTACAGCCTTCGGACATCGGGAATATTGTAGTGCGATATTCCTCGACGTCTCTCAGGCATTCGACCGAGTGTGACTTGAAGGCCTTATGCATAAAATCATAACATGCCAGAAAACACTCATAAGTTACTTAAGTCGTACCTCTACCACAACAACAATCGTGCCCACCGCTAACTTTGAATAGTACGCAGATTCCCCAAGCCAGCGATGTAACATATCTCGGCGTCCACCTCGACAAACGCCTAACCTGGCGGAGGCACATTGAATGCAAGAAAGTACATCTCAGACTTAAAGCTAGCAGCCTACACTGGATTATAAATTCTCGATCACCCCTGTGTTTGGACTTTAAAGTTCTTCTCTACATCTCCACCCTTAAGCCCATTTGGACCTACGGCTCCCAGCTCTGGGGGAACGCGAGCAACAGCAACGTTGACATCATACAGCGCTCACAATCAAAAATCCTGCGAACAATCACTGGGGCACCATGGTATGTTCGGAACGAAAACATCCACAGGGATCTGGGCATACCACCGGTCAAAGATGAAATAACAAAGCAGCAAGCGGCCTATCATAACAAGCTTACACTGCACCCAAATATTCTCGCAACGAACCTAAGACGGGTTTCGAACAGAACTCGTCTGCATCGTAACGATCTACCAGCCCAGCAATAAATATTAGGGCCCGTTAGTCTAAATTCAGTCTACATGACTGTAAGTTAAGTTATATTCTTAAGATTTGATATACTTATTGTTAGTCTCATATAAAGAAGATTCAATAAATAAAGCATATATGTATAATAATAACATCTGTTTCTCGAGTTATATGCGTATATGTTGAAAAGAACTTATATAGGTAAATTATCGTATTATTTTCTCATTAACTTTTTGATCTTTCCTATGACAGCTAAATATTATTTTATAAGACTGAAATCAAATTTTTGAAAATATCCAAAAATTTTAAATTCCGGTTCCTTTTGTCCTATTGTTGCAATGGGAGCTTTATTATACAATAAGCCGATTGGGCTCTTTCCAACTTATATACTATCTGCAATACAAAGAACACTTTTGGAACACTAGTTAAAAACTGAGAGGCGGACGGGCAGACAGGCAGACGGGCATAGCTTTATCTGGCCTGGCTGATGAAGCTGATAAAAATATATATTGTGGAATTATAATACCCTCCGCAAGGGTATACAAAATCAAAGCTCTTAGATATTTTAGCAAATAAAAAGTTGTGATAGAGCAAGCATCATCCTGATACAATTTGACTCTTAAGCATACTTCTTCCTTTTTACAAGCAATAACCTTTTTTTGTACAAAATCTATTCTACGCCAATTGTTATACTTAATTCTTACTTATTTATTCCATTTTTATTCGTATCTGTTTAATAAAATAAATAAATCTGTTTAATTTCAGAGAATCCTAAAAATTACAAAGATTGTTTTGGACACAAAGGAGGACCCTGAGGTCGGAACTTTTCTTACAAAATGCTATTCTGAAGAATCCGAGGCAGAAGCAAATATTATTTTGGAAGATAATTTACTTAACAGCCTTGATAATTGGCTTGTAAGACTGTTTGATGGCAGAACACAAAAATACTACATTAATTATTGGCCGGACTTTTCTACTAAGTGACTTTTCTACTAAGCCCTAACTCAAAACTATTTCTGTAACAAGATCAATTTAAAATTTTCAAGATTATTTAAAATTTTCAACAGAAAGAAAATATCAGGAACATTAGTATTACATATAAGTGGTTCCTAACACATTAAAATATTTATGTACTTTTGAGGAGTCAAGTTACTACTGTTACTACAGTACTTGCTTGCTAAAAAAGTTATATAAAAGAAGTGATGTTAAAATGAATTACAATTTTATAATAAAAAAAAATGTTAAATATAAAATAATATTAATCTCAAAACATTTTATATACTTCCAGAACTAATTAAAAAAAAATAGATTGAATACCCCTGCAAGAACCAATGTCTTTTTTAAATACATTTTTCTTCAATAATATACAATATAATAATTAAATATGTGTTTTCCTATATATTTGGACCAAACAGCTCGGGAACCATTGTTAAATTTCTTTAGCCTATCTTTATGAACTTATTGTTTCTTATATACCCTTGCAGAGGATATTATAATTTTGGTCAAAAGTGTGCAACGCAGTGAAGGAGACATCTCCAACCCTATAAGGTATATATTATATATTCTTGATCAGGAGCGCGTCCTGAGTTGATATTAGCATGTCCGTCTGTCTGTCCGTCATTCTGTTTTTACGCGAACAAGTATCTCAGTTTTAAAGATATCGAAACTTTGCACACACCCTTCGTTCCTTTGCTTGCAGTATATACAAGATGGAGTGAAAAGTAACCTCCTTGGGAATGAAACAATTTTCTCAAATGTTTTTTTATTTTATTCAATGTAGTCCCCTTTTAGCTCCATACACTTATTCCAACGTTTTTCCAACTTCTTGATCCCATCCGAAAAGTAATTTTTCGGAAGGTCTGCAAAATACTCCGCGGCGTCGATGATTTATATTTTTATTAATGAGATATCTTTTCAGATTCGGGAACAGATAATAGTCCGAGGGAACCAAATCGGATGAATAAGGTGGATGCCGAAGCAATTGGAGCCCTAAGTCACTCATTTTAGCAGTGGTTGCTACGCTCTTGTGCGCCGGTGCATTGTCTTGCAAAAACAATTTTTTTTCGCTTCTGTGAAGCCGTTTTGCAGCGATTTCGGCCTTCAATCGCTCCAACAATGCACAGTAATACTCGCTGTTGATGGTTTTTCCTTTTTCGAGGTAGTCCACGACAATCCCAAAAAACTGACTCCATAACCTTTCCGACCCATCGAGCCTGCCTCGGCCGCTTCGGAGCACTCGTGCCGGCTTTGGTCCATTGCCGGGCACTCATTCTGACCTCTGGTGTGTAATAGTGGATCCAGGTTTCATCAACAGTTACCAATCGACGCCAAAAGTCCACCGGATTCCGCATCAGTAAGTCCAAACACTCTTTCGAACTGGTCTCGCGTTCGAGTTTTTGGTCAAGAGTGAGCATGCGCGGCACCCAGCTGCAGGATAACTTTTTCATATGCAGAATCTCGCTCAAAATATGGCGTGTGCGATCAGTACTGATCTTTGTGGCATCTGCTAACTCGCGCACTTTCATCGGTAGTGGAGTTGCGGCCACCACGAAACTCTCTCTGACGGAGCATTTGCCCCTAGTATTTATCCAATTTTTCTTTTGTTTCCTTTGCCGTTTTGCCTCTCAAAAAATAATGCTTTAGAACGAAAATCGTTTTTGTCCATATTCAACATGATGCTAAACACGTCAACAACAATCAGCTGCCAAATCAAAACTAAGGGCAGTATCGCACTGAAATTTGGTATGCTTGCCTAAATATGGACGCACCGTAAGGAACCATGACCATCATTGCAGTAGTAGCGCATTCTGGCGGTCAAGGAGGTTACTTTTCACCCCACCTAGTAAATCGGAACGGCCGAGATCGGCCGACTATATCCTATAGTCGCCATATAACTTATTCATAAGGATCGGCCGACTATATCCAATAACTGCCATATAACTGAACGATCGGAAATGCCATAACTTTGGTGTTTGTAAAGTTAGGAAGTTGGGATTTTTTATGGGTTTTATATTTGGCCAATCAATCCGACCAACCAAACTTCATAAGGATCGGCCGACTATATCCTATAGCCGCCATATAACTGATTGATCGAAAACGCCATAACTTTGGTGTTTGTAATGTTAGGAAGTTCGGCCGACTATATCCTATATTTGCCATATAACTGAACGATTGGCAATGCCATAACTTTCAGAATATTCTGCAAGGGTATATCAAATTAATAATCGTCTAAGTCGGTTTTGTCGATAAATATATGGGAACGGATATATTCATTGGAAGTTGTTGTTGGCCTCTATCCACGGATCCAACCCTTGCAGAGGGTATTATAATTTTGGTCAAAAGTGTGCAACGCAGTGAAGGAGACATCTCCGACCCTATAAAGTATATATATTCTTGATCAGGATCACCTCCTGAGTTGATATAGCCATGTCCGTCTGTCCGTCGGTCCGTCTGTCTGTCCGTCTGTCTGTTTCTACGCGAACTAGTCTCTCAGTTTTAAAGATATCGAATTGAAACTTTGCACACACCCTTCTTTCCTTTGCACGCAGTATATAAGTCGGAACGGCCGGGATCGGCCGACTATATCCTATAGCTGCCATATAACTGATTGATCGGAAATGCCATAACTCTGCTGTTTGTTAAGTTAGGAAGTTGGGACTCTCCATGGGTATTATATTTGGCCAATCAATCCGACGTACCAAATTTCATAAGGATCGGCCGACTATATCTTATAGCTGCCATATAACTGATTGATCGGAAATGCCATAACTTTGGTGTTTGTTAAGTTAGGAAGTTGGGATTTTCTATGGGTTTTATTTTTGCCTAATCAATCCGACATATCAAATTTCATAAGGATCGGCCGACTATATTCTATAGCTGCCATATAACTGAACGATTGGAAATGCCATAACTTTGGTGTTTTTAAAGTTAGGAAGTTGGGATTTTTTATTAGTATTAAGAATGCATTATGAATGATTTTGGAGAATATAATTTGCAGAATATTCTGCAAGGGTATTTCAACTTCGGCTCCGCCCGAAGTTAGCTTTCCTTTCTTGTCTATATTTTTATACCATTGCAGAGGGTTATATAATTTTGGTCAGAAGTTTGTAACGCGACGTTTCCGACCCCATAAAGTATATATATTCTTGATCAGCATAATTAGGGGACTCGATATAGCCTTATCGATGTTTAAATACTGTTTGCGAGCTCAGTTTAAAAGCTAGCGATCTGAAACTTTCACAGTCGTCCTAAAACATGATATTTCGCACAGTATATAAGTCTTTCAGGGTAGAAGCGCGTGCCGATCGGACGTTATCCTATAGCTTCCATAGGAACAATAGTGTGAAATCAGTCAAAATTTGATGTTTTTCAGAATATTTAACGCAGTGTATGCATGTTTTGATCAGATTATATGCGCGTGCCGATCGGACGTCTATATCCTATAGCTCCCATAGAAACAATAGGGTGAAATCGGCTAAAATTTAATGTTGCTGTTGACATGAATCTTTCCAAATCGTATTTTTATACCCTTGGAGAGGGTATTACAATTTTGGTCAAATAAATTAAAATATTTATGTACTTTTTAGGAGTCAAGCTACTACTGTTACTACAGTACTTGCTTGGTAAAAAAGTTATATAAAAGAAGTGATGTTAAAATGAATTACAATTTTTTTATTTTTTTTTCGCGCGGAGTCCCACGTTCCACTTACCCGCCCAACCGACCGAGGGGCGCAGCCGTGTATCGTACGGCACGATTCGCGAGAAGATAGACGCGAGATAAGGAAATATAGGTAAAAGTCCGGGGAAAAAAGTAATAGTTAGATCAATTTTGTGCCAATGAAGATAGATAGATAATCGTTTTAAGAGCGGCAGAGAGTCAAGATTTGAGATTATAGGAAAAAATCTATTATAGTCAGAACACAATTCTCTGAAAGGCTCATGCAAGGCATAGTTAGATCTACAATGATTTAATATTAGGGGAATATAATTTCTAGTAAATCTACTTGGCACAGAAAAATTTAGCCGACTTAACAAGTCGGGTTATAAATGAAGACAGTACCAAGCATCGCTCTACGGTTGGCTAGGGATGGTAAATTAATCAACAGAAGTCTACTAGAATAAGAAGGTAAGTTAAGATTTGCATCCCAGTTTAGGCGCCGTAAAGCAAAAAGAAGAAAGTTTTTTTGTACTGATTCAATACGACCAATATGTATTCCGTTTTGTGGACTCCAGACGGGAGACCCATATTCCAGAATCGGACGGAAATAAATAAAGTTTTAGTTAAATAAGGATCATCGAATTCTTTTGACCACCTTTTATTAAATCCAAGCACTCCTCTGCACTATGGGGAATTTGCCCGATTTTTTGGAATAAATGTATTTTTTAAAAGTATGCCGATTTCCTATTTTTTTTTTATGTATTAAGAAAACATCAAACTGTTTGGTAGCATACCGCAAATGTTAATTTAAAAGTCTAGTATTTAAATACCAACTGTTAAAGTCAGCTGTTGCAAGCGCACATGGTTTGTTTACATTTTGCTTAACTTTGAAGCTCACTTTCAAATCATTATCTCTGCAACAAAATGACGTAAGACAGTCAAATTTGAAATGATTACCAATTCTCAAGGTATGTTCTGTGTAAAAATACTTATATATTGCTTAATATGTGCGTCCAATTTTAACAATTTGTAAATGTAGGAGGTGATGTTTTCGTTTGGGTTTTGGAAAGAAAGCTAAACTTTCAATAGAGTTTTAAAAAAATGTTTAGCTTTGTTCAGTGAGTGTCTATATCCATGTTGTAGAGTCATTAATTGTAAATTCAGAACATATTGTCTCATCGTGCGCTTCGTGCGACTTTTCGCATAATTTCATTATTTAGAAACCAATCTCTTGATCAAAAACGCAGCCCTGCTGGACGTTTTGCATAAGCAAAAGGGTCTTCGAGAAAAGGAAGATGGCGAATTCACTTTTGTTAGCAAGCTAGTTGATCCCACAGTCGAATCTCCAACTTTACAGATGTTTACAGAGTCATGGTTACTTCAGACCCCATCATTTCATCAATGAATTTGAAGAAGCGCGTCCGAAAACATAAGCTGCTTGCTCTTCCACCAAAAGACATTCAATTGTTATTATGCGAATATGAACCTGGAGACGAGTCTCTAGATGTTGAGAATTATGAAGAAGAAAACGACTATGATTTTTTGTCCAACATTGAAATTGAAAATTAAGAGCATATAGAGCTAAATTTGTTATAAAAAATATAAAAAATTGGGTGGGGGGGAGGCGTATACTTTTACTTTT